AAAACGATTATTGCTGGGGAGATTGATATAGAGATCGATCAAGTTGTTGGCGAGATGCTGTGTCAAGGAATATTCAGACTTTTGGTTCTTCTCAGTTTCAGCTAGTACCTCCAGGTATTTGACGGGTATTCCGTGTTCTTGGAGGTAGTCGGCAGTCCCTGCGGTTGCAAAAAGGTTGTATCCCATCCTGTGAAGTTTCTCGACAGATGGTAGCATTTCCATTTTGTCCTTATATGAGCCGATAGACAGCAGGATGTTCTTATTAGGCAGTTTGAAGCCTGTGGAGATCAAGGCTTTCAGGTAAGCCTCATATTTGTCACGGCCAAATCCAGCAACTTCCCCAGTTGACGCCATTTCGACACCAAGGACTGGATCCGCTCCAGAGAGTCGCGAGAAACTGAACTGCGGAACCTTGACTCCAACGTAATGATCTGGAATGTCAGTGTGGGGGTACTCGGTAAGGGGTACATCCATTATCGCCTTCGTGGCCATCTCGATCAGGTCAACGCCCATAACCTTCGAGACAAAGGGGAAGGACCTAGAAGCGCGGACGTTACATTCAATGACCTTGATCTCGTTGTCCTTAGCGATGAATTGAATGTTGAATGGCCCAGTTATATTGAGGGCATTGCCAATCTTCCTTGTTGCTTCCTCAATCCTTCGAACGGTCTCAGGGTCGAGGTCTTGGGGCGGCAATATTAGAGTTGCATCGCCTGAGTGTACACCTGCATTTTCCACATGCTCCGAGATGAAGTGTCCGACCATTGTGCCATGCTTAGCTACGGCATCCATTTCGATCTCTTTCGCGTTTTCTATGTATTTAGTGATAACCACAGGATGGTCTCTCGAGACATCAGCAGCTTGCTGAAGGTAATTTGCCAGGTCATCCTTCGAATAGACAGTATTCATGGCAGCTCCAGACAAAACATATGAGGGTCTCACTAACACGGGGTACCTAACCTTCTTGCAAAACTCGAAGGCTTCATCGATGCTGGTGAGCTCCTTCCATGCCGGTTGGTCGACATAGATTCTATCTAGCATTCGTGAGAACTTGTAGCGATTCTCCGCAGTATCGATCATCTCCGGAGATGTGCCCAGGACTTTGACATTTAAACGATGTAGTGGTAGTGCGATATTATTAGGCGTCTGTCCGCCCATAGAAATAATAACCCCACTTGACTGCTCGAGTTGGTAGATGTCCAATACAGTTTCCAGGTTGATATTCTCAAAATATAATCGATCCGCCTCATCATAGTCCGTGCTTACAGTCTCCGGGTTGTAGTTAACCATCACCGTCTTGATATTCTGGTCTCTGAGGGTGCGAACAGCCCGGACGGAACACCAATCAAACTCAACAGAAGATCCAATACGGTAGACACCAGAACCCAAGACCATCACTCCATGATCATCGAAAGCGATATCATGTTCGATGCCATTGTAAGTTAGATATAGGTAATTCGTGAATGCTGGGAACTCTGCCGCCACCGTATCGATCTGCCTCACTACCGGCACAATGCCCGCTTCCACCCTCAACCTCCGGACGGCAAGTTCATTAGAGCCCAGGAATTTTGACAACTGTCGGTCAGAAAAGCCCAATTGTTTCGATTTCCTTATCAACGCGGGAGGAATAGTTGTCGCATTGTAGGTACTTATAAATGTCGCAAAGTCACTTAAGCCTTTCAACTTATTTAAAAACCACTTGTCAATCTTTGTCATTTCCCAGATTGTGTCAACGCTATAGCCGGAATGCATGGCATTAGCAAGAGCAAAAAGGCGCTGATCAGATGGAGTCTGCAATTCTGCATCAATGGACATGAGTGCGTTCGTTTCGTTAAATCCGAGGTTGTGAAAATCGACGGCCCGAATGGCTTTTTGAATAGCTTCCTCAAAAGTTCTCCCGATGCTCATAACTTCACCTACACTCTTCATTGAAGAGTTCAACTGAGTTGAGACTCGGGTGAATTTCTTAAGATCCCACCGTGGAATCTTGACAACCACATAATCGAGTGATGGCTCAAAGCATGCGCAAGTCACCTTTGTGACCGAGTTGGAAATCTCATTGAGCGGAATTCCTAGTCCTAGCTTTGCAGCAATAAAAGCTAATGGATACCCCGTAGCTTTGGATGCAAGAGCCGAGGACCTCGAAAGTCGGGCATTAACCTCAATGATGCAGTACTCCCTTGAGAAAGGGTTCAATGCGTATTGGATATTGCACTCGCCGACAACTCCAAGATGGCGAATGACATTTACTGCGGTTGTACGGAGCATGTTGTAATCTTCGTCTGAGAGAGTCTGCGAAGGAGCGACGACGATCGAATCACCCGTGTGAATGCCTAGGGGATCAAAATTCTCCATGTTGCAAACAGTTATGCAATTGTCTCTGGCGTCACGGACAACCTCGTATTCAATCTCTTTCCAACCCTTCATACTCCTCTCGATTAAGACCTGCGGACTTGCAGCAAATGCTTTGTTACACAAGTCCACCAATTGCTCACTATCCTCAGCAAAACCGCTCCCAAGGCCGCCAAGAGCATATGCGGCACGGACAATGACTGGGAAACCAATCTCCTTTACTGCGCGCAGAGCTTCTTCCACGGAACTTGCTGATGCTGATTTTGCGCACTTCTCCCCAATGGACTCCATGCTTCTTGCAAAGAGCTCACGGTCCTCAGTCGTGATAATAGTATCAATGGGTGTACCAAGAACCAGCACACCTAATCTATCAAACTCATCTTTCAGCTGGATACCAACTTGAAGAGCCGTCTGCCCACCAAAGGTAACGTATATTGCATCTGGACGTTCGTGCCGAATAACCTTTCGTACAAATTCCGCTGTGACTGGCAGAAAATAGACCTTATCGGCTAGGCCCTTTGATGTCTGTATCGTGGCGATGTTAGGATTGATAAGTATAGTGTATATCCCTTCTTCTTTCAATGCCTTAATCGCCTGGCTCCCCGAGTAGTCAAACTCCCCTGCCTGCCCAATGCTCAAGCCTCCACTCCCAAGTACAAGCACCTTCTTCACATCGACTCTTGGGTGAAGGCGCTCGTTCTCAGCTGCAATGCCGCCAGGGAAACTGATTGGCTGTATAAGAGTTTTTGCAGAATCCGCGCACTTCGCGACCGCATCAATGAACACATCAAATAGAAATTCGGTATCTCTAGGCCCAGGCGTGCTCTCTGGGTGAAACTGCACGCTGAAGTAAGGACGACTGATATGTCTTATTCCCTCATTGCTGCCATCGTTTGCATTCACAAAAAGCTCCTCCCAGCCCTCCGGGAGAGTTGTGGCATCAACGGCATACCCGTGGTTCTGAGACGTAATGTAGCACCTGCCAGAAATCCTGCTCGTGCACGGTATATTATGTCCCCTATTTCCAAACTTCATTTTTTTAGTGCTGGCGCCTGCCGCTCGAGCGAGAAGCTGATGACCCAAACAGATGCCAAAAATCGGCACACGCCCTTCCTCTAGGGTCACCGAAATGTGCTTGGTGGCAATTGATAACAACGCTGGGTCGCCAGGACCGTTTGATACGAAAAGCCCGTCGTAATCTTTCCCGGCCAGACAAGGAAAATTGTAGTTCCATGGAACTACCTGAACCTCTACTCCTCGAGAGACGAGACAGCGCAGCTGGTTGTACTTTAGTCCGACATCCAAACAAAGAACCCTAAGTGGACGACCGGAGGGGTGTCTCAAAGTCTTAGACTTGGGTGGAAAGTAGACTTGAGGCTGCTTTAAGGATACTAAAGCCTAGAGTCAAAAAAGCCTTACTGGTTTGCTTTTCTTGCATATCAGGGAATTACCTTCGGCTACCAGGTTCTTCTCGTTCGGATTCACCCAGTCGATTTCTTCAAAGTTCGTCCTCCAGATTCCAGCATCATTCGATATGCCATCGGTTCCTTTAAAGGCTCCATTGGTCACATTCGGTCGTTCAAGGAGTATCCTTCCCAGCATGCTACCCTCCTCTCGTATCCTCTTAGTCAGCGCTCGAGTGTCAACGCCATACATGGCAGGTACTCCTTGCTCTTTCAGCCATGTGCCAAGCGACGATTCAGCAAGGAAGTGTGAGAAGTCCTCTCCGGAATATGAGGCAACCACTAGGCCTGATGTGTGTATCTGAGATGCTTCAAAATGTGCCGGAAGACCATGCAGCAGGTCGTCTATGGTCTCTCGTGAGGGAACGCCTACAGGTAGAATTCATGTTAGCAATTGGAAATGGGGATAAACAAAATATAGTCTGCTAAGCACTTGCCGTAATTTCCGACTAGCGGGAATGTGATAACCAGTATTTGGCCGCGATATGATGGGTCTGTTACCGACTCAGGATAGCCAACCATTCCGGTTTGGAAGACGAGTTCTCCCGCAATACTCTTCTCAGCTCCAAAGCTGTAACCCTGATACACAGCTCCATCCTCAAGCTCGAGAATCATAAGTCTACCATGTGAATTCTCATGCCCAGAAGGCTGTGAAGAATTTGGAGCGCCATTCTCAAGTCCCTTTGACGGGCAATTAGATTGGGATATGGGGCTATGGTCGCCATCTAACGCAACCCCAGATGTTGAGATTGGGGCAGCAGGGGACAGTACACCCAGCGTTGTGCGTAGCGGCGGCTCCGGTAGTTGTGAGGACGTCGATTGCTGTAGAGTTTTTAGTGTCTCCGAAGAAGTTGACGAAGCCATCTGAACCCAATTCACAGTGTATGTTACTCCAGGAAGTTAAAAGGCGGGAAATAACCACCGCCGGCTAGGCTCTTCCACTCTGGGCGTGGGATGTACAGTTTTTGGTTTGTCAAGCTATTTGTGTTTTTAGAGTAAATGTGTATTTTTCACAGTTTTCAGTCTAGCCAATAGCGGGACGCATGACGCGATGACGTGGGGTGGAGGGGCACAATAGATCATATCCGCGGTCAACGGTTTAGCGCACAAACGCGGGAATCAGATCATCCTCGCGACAGCCACGTGGTACCAAAAAAAAAGGAAATTACGCAAAAAAAAAAATAAAGGTCGGGCTGGGAATCGAACCCAGGTCGAGTGGAATCCAATTTGTCAGAACCACACGTGCTAACCCCTACACCACCTGACCGCTGAAATTTCATTAGTTAAACGAGTATCTCTATGAATTAATTTGAGCGAAGCAATAAGCGAGGTCTTTATTTAATAATGCCTCATATCGCGCAAAAGGGAATGTTTCTCACATAGGGGTATTCCTATTACCGTGAACGCCCTTGCGCTAACTTTACTCAGTGCTTTAGGCCCTTCGTCCCACGCTTTCATTATAGGATTCAAGCAGACCCCCACCATCCTCCTCATCTAGAAAGATATTAAAGCTATCGAGAACAAAAATTAACAGGAGACGATTTGGATTAGTATATATAAACATTCAGCCTTATGGCTCCACCAAAATATTTAGATTCTCTCGCCTTTTCTGGGACTGCTCTCATTTGAGAATAGGGCACTTGATCTCCCTTCTCTCGCCGTTTGCCGTCCGAAAATATTACCTTCTATAATCTATTGACCCACGGTGAAATCGCCCCGGTGGACCGCGGTCCCTTTTTTTTTTTAATTCTCTGCTAGTTTTGTGGCGCTTTCGTAGCTCCGAGACTCTAACTCGGTCACCCTAGCCCCCTGCCCGGCCTCCGCATGTGGGCGTTTTCTGAACGTTGGAGTGGATGCCTGGCCTCCTAGAACTTAGAAAGGATATGTGTGGGTGTTCGGCTTTGATAAAACAATTTCCATGCTTACTTGCAAACATGTATTAGCACACACATGAGCGATAGAGCAGCGGCTTGAGGACGTGTTACCGAAAGACATCTCACCACTTTCCGCCGTAATATTTTAGATGTTTTTGATGCTCTCCTAGATTGCCGGGCGCGGTAGGGATACCTTGATTTTTCGGCTTCTCCGCTGTCCCACGGTACCAGCCCTTGTCGCTGAAGGCTTGACATTTCTTGTGCTGCTTTACGGTAGCCTCAATCTCAACACTGGAGTTATAGCTCAGTTAATGGATCGGATACTAGCGCAAGCGTGTTTTAGACCCCTCCTAGGATATTCTATTGTACCTTCTCTTAGGTGGTGGGGGTTTTATAGCAGGGGAGATGATGCGGTGGGGCTGCAAGGATAAGACTTTCCCCACCCAACTTTTAGCGACACTTCTTGCTTAACCTCAATTTTTAGAACCAGATTCTGCCACCACCGTCATCCAAAACATGTCCTCTCAATCGCCCTCCAGACCATCTATAATTCAACAAGAGCAGTACTACTTTGCCTATGGCAGCAATCTCCGACTTGATCAGATGGCCAGGCGCTGTCCGGGCAGTAAGTACATTGGTCGAGCTAGTCTGCTAGACTATCTATGGCAGATCAACGAACGGGGCTACGCAAACATTGTGAAATCAGAAGGTGACTGGGTCGAAGGTCTTGTTTATGAGTTGAGTGGGGAGGATGAAAAGAGGCTGGACAGGAACGAAGGCGTGGCGGGTGAATGCTACTCGAAAGAATACAAGTCACTGCAGCTCTATAGAGCCTCGGAGGTCTTGCATTGCCGACCGGTTCCCTGGATTGTAAAGAAGGGTGGTCCTGCCAAGGTGCTACTGGATGCGCAGCAAGTAGGCGAGTCAGTGGAGGAACAGAAGGAAACGACTGAACACGACGTGCTGGTGTACATTAGCTCACGCTATGTCACAGAAGGGGATCCCTGGGAAGAATACATTGAACGAATCAACCTGGGCGTTGCGGATGCGGCGGATCTTGGGGTGTCTGAGGGTTTTATACAACGCTTCATTCGACCATACATCCCACCAGCAAAGCAAGTTCCTGCTAAACACACCGCCTATCGGCCTCAGCAGGAAGCCGATGTCAATGGGAGGCGTCTGAAAAGCGCGCCTGGGGCGAGGCCGGCAGAGAATACAGCGGAAAGTCATCCCAGTCGTAGCGTGCCTCTCGAGGAGGCCCTAGAGTGAGTCTTGCACCTCGGTCTCCATTATTGACCTGCATCTCGATTGAGGTCAAAAGATGTGGCCTCGAGCATCATTCAGTAGTTGAGGCGTCCTCTTTTCGTTGAGTACAGACTCTTCCAAACATGCGAAGCTAAAAACGAAAAATTTTAAGTATTAAAAAACCAAAACCACCATTCCTTAGATCTTACTCCGTGACTGTTATTGCCAAAGGGGCCATGACCGTATGCCCCTTTGTGAAACAGACATATTGCGCCTTGTCGATTTTGCTCTTCCAGTAGAGCTAAATGACAGTTCTGATATTAAGATATTGCTACTTGGGTTGATGTTTTTTCACGATAAAATTACTGGAATATTATACGAGTTTACATGGAAAAAACTACTATGGTTGTTGAGCAGATGAAGAAAGTCGTTTCTAAGCCATCGCTCGTGCTTCCTTGTCAAGAACCATACATTTGCTTGCGCGTTGCTAGGCAGAGACTCACCCCCCAAGTAGTACAGCCTAAGCGAGGCCTCCTTACATGCTGGTTTCCATTCGCCGCGCTTCAGCCACTCTTGCCGGAGCAAGCTTAGTCGCTATTAAAAAAGCCTAGCGTTAGGGCATTGTGGCCAAGGCGAGCCGTCCTTTGGCCTCCTGAACGTTTTTCCCTTTTGCGTTCTAACAACGATACGATGATACTTCCTATCAATCGTGAAGGGCGCTTTTCAACTCGCATCCCAATTAGCACAGCTAGATGACTCTGCGAGAAAATAACCGGCATAGAATACATACTCCGTCGTGGGTTGTTTGCATTCAGGGGAACCTTATGGCGCAGGGGGCTGTGATGTGATATGTACGCCACCAATGAACAGATGGAAACTTCCGTGCGCGGCCCTGGGGCTGTGAGCGTTCCTCGACTATATAGCTACCTGCTGGGCATCCCGTCCTTCGCGCCTTCCCTCTTATCGCTTCACACTCTCATTTTTCGTCGCATTTGTGACACTTACACCTACCATTTGGTATCCGTAAGAGCTTGTTAACATCTTCCCCCCGCCATGGACCCGGTTCTGGACCGTTTGTTATACTTCGGAGAGCAGCTGATGATCCAAAAATATGCGCCTCCTCCCTATGCTCCGTTAGATAGTAACGACGGCATGGGCGAACTCACGGTTCGCTTTCAAAAGGTGGACTGGGTGGCAGAAATTCTTACTAGGCTTGGTATACATTGCCCCGTCTGTTTCTCTGTGAGTGGGGACCTGGCTGTTTTCTCGCGCCCACGAAACGGAGGGAGGGACAGGGATAGCAAGGCCTTCATAAAATGGGCATTTCGACTAGAAGATCTTGCCAATGCAGCGGCGGCTGGATGCCAATTCTGCGGTTTTATGGCAAATCGGTTCTTCGATGACCGTGGCTACACCTTTTTTTGGGGTATTGATTCGTCGACCCAAAATGTCACCTGCTGTAGCAATGCACCTAGGACAGCGGTTTCTGAGAAGCTCCTCGGCTCGATAGCAAGGATCAGGAAGTTTTTGGAGAAACACCCTGATGCGGACTTCACGCTTCTCGCCCAACCGACAGACTACGGGACCTGGGGCTTGGGATACGGGAGAATCCACTTCAAGGCTACTTCGACTTCTTTAAATCCAGACGCAGTCAAAGAGATCCTCGGGTGTAGACAACGGATCGTTCTTGAGCTCTATGCCCATAAAGGTGCAGTAACAATTTACCAGACAGAGCTAATTAAACATGCTGACATGGCGCGGATAGATGATCCAGCGGCTAAATTCATCCAGGGTCGTCCTGAAAATATTTATCCCTCGTCCGATGAGAGTATTCAGCAGGCTCAGGATTGGATTGATGATTGTATCAACAATCATCGCGGGTGTTCGAAGCCAACCCCTTCTCCGCTTCCAACACGAATCATTAAACTTCTAGATGGAGATGGCCTGAAGCTCTCCGATGACGAAGAACGGGGCCAATATGCAACTCTGAGTTACTGCTGGGGTGGTCCCCAGACGTTCTGCACTACTGTCGGAAATCTTGAGGATCGGAAGAGAGGTTTTCGTTTGTCTGACCTGCCCCAGACGCTACAAGATGCCGTATATCTGACGAGGCGGTTGGGTCTATCGTTTCTATGGATCGACTCGATTTGCATTCTTCAGGATTCTGAGACCGATAAGGAGCGAGAGATTCTTGAAATGGCGAAGTACTACAAACAGTCCTATGTGACAATATGCGCCGCAAGCGCAGCAAGCTGTCATGACGGATTCTTGCAAGCCAGGAAGAATGAGTGCCAGAAACACCCTGGGTTCGGTCTTGCCAGCGACCTTTTAAAATTGCCGTTCATCTCTCCAGATGCTGAAATCGGGACCGTTCTGTTCCGTGAAGAATCTCCATACTACTTAAATAGGGAACCGATAGCTGACCGGGCATGGACCCTCCAAGAACGACTCCTTTCTCCCCGAGTTTTAATGTATGGACGACGGTTGGTATGGCTGTGCCATTGTGCTCAAAACAGCCATGGCGGCTTGGAAGATTGGTCATATGATAATCAATCTTTCGACCATCGGGAACTGCGGTTCCACTTGGTCGAAGCCAACAAAACTTCAAGCATGGAGGAAAAACGAGAGCGGGCAGAGAACCTTTACACAGTTTGGCACGGTGCCGTCCGCGAATTCTCCAATCGCAAAATGACAATTCCAGACGACAAGCTGCCCGCAATTGGAGCGTTGGCTGCGGAAATTAGCGACTTAGCTAGTGATGAGTATCTTGCAGGGCTATGGCGTGGTCCGTTACTCCGCGAGCTGTTATGGTCAACGCGATTACCGCTCAAACGGCCACCCTCCTGGCGTGCCCCCTCGTGGTCTTGGGCATCGGTGGATAACCCCGTGACTTTCGAGCGCATGGCTCCGTGGAATGCGGTAGAGCTAGCATCCATCACCGAATGCAGCATCATAGCGAAGACCCCAGAATTTCCTTTCGGCCAGGTGACGGCCGCCGCGTTGGAAATTAATGGGCCCGTCCTGGAGCTCGGCCGCGATAACATCGTAAAAATTCTTCGGCGGGAGCATTCCATCGATAGACCGGACGATTCGATTCATTATCGTCGAGCAATAGAGTCGATGATGCTGCAATTAGGTTCTCAAGATT